TGATGGGGTCGGGGTGGGGGTGTGGAAATATCTCCCTCATGTCAGGGTAGTGGACTAATGCTGAGTACTTGGGGAAATCCTGCAGACCCGGCTGCAGAACGGGGAGCACAGGAGAGAATCCAGGATGGAAATAGTCATAGGCTGTATTGCTTGGTGTGGGGAGACAACTCAGGCTCTGGAAGGGACTTGCTGACCTAATATTTCAAAAACGTCTTTTGAGGAACTGTTCAGGACTTGGCAGCCCAGCTCAGGACTTGCTGCTTCTCTCCTTAAAGGGAGATTCTGGCACCAGTTGACAGCAGTCGGAGCAGATTCTTCATCCTGGCTGTGCTGCTATGGAGGAACATCTGAAGGAAACAGACACGGGGTGGTACGAGGCAGGGCTGGATGTGCAGCCCAAGGCAGGACTGAGTTCCTGGTGGGGGGTCTGACCTGAGCTGAAGGGTGCTGGTGGTGGAGATGACATCCCCTCTGCAGGCAGCCTGTCCTGCAGAAAATGGGCTGCCTGCACCATTTAGAAAACTTGGCCTGATTCCTGACCTTGCTAGTGTATATTAAAGCAGCAGACTAAAGCCTTCTGTGATCTTCGGGACCTCTCTTTGTGAGAGTGCCCATGGGCCTTGTGTGGTCAAGAGGCACCTAATGGATGTGGCCTTCAAGCAGGGTTTCAGTGTGACATCCCTGCCGGTCCCCATGCTGGCACGCATGACGTCATCCACAGGCATTTGAAGAAGTCTTCAACTCTGAGCAGCAGCAAAATTGCTGCCTAAATGCTTTCCATGCAAATGCTTGTTGTAGTTGTTATTCACTGTGACTTTACTGCAAAGGCCCTTGGTGCCTCAGTGCAGGGCAGATGTGTTCTCAGGGGCAGAAAGGGGAAGTGGGGCAAGGTGGGCTGAGGGCAGTGGCATTCCTCTTAACCTGGGACCTGTGACACATTGTTGTGAAGTTACTTTTCTGGGTAGCCTGTAGTAAAATCAGAAAATGAAGCTGGCTTTGCTGAGACCCAGGGCCTTTTAACCTCCCTGTCCTTCCTCGTAGGAATGTTTCTAGTTGGCCAAATGGAAGGACCAAGCAGTAAACTAGCTTTACAATTTTTTATTTTTCAAATAAATCTCTGAAATACTTTATTGAGCAGCAAAATTAATTGCATTCACTCATCTCCCGCTCCCACATATGATACAGAGAGATTTTCTCCAGAATCATATTCCTTTCAAAAGGGTATTTTGTAGTGTGCTCTGCTCAGCCCCTGTCTGGGAAACATGTGCAGCCATTTGATAAATATATTGTGGAAAAAAACGTTGAAGTGGCAGTCTGCCTGCAGCAGAGGAATAGCTACAGGGGAAAATGGTAAATAAGATATGTGTAAGTAAATTAATTTTGCTCATACAAGCTTGTTTGCAGCTTTAGTTCATGTCTGCAGCATAATCCTCTGAGGTGCAGCAGGTGTGTAGTGTTGTGGGGGATCAGGCTGGTGACCAAGTGCAGAGCACTGGGCCCAAAGCTGTGCAGGAGCTCGTAGAAGGTAGTGGTGGTATCTCTGTTTCGCTGGGATTTCCCATCACAACAAGGTGCAGTTGTGTTACAGCCTGACAAATGGCAAATCCACCATTGATTTTGCCTTGCAGAAATAAATATTATCTTTTGTACTGAGTCTTACACAGTAAGACTGGTCTGTGCATAACTGATTTACTTATTCAGAAACCATTGCTTTTCAATATACTTTTGGAGGATTTATCAGTGAAAAGGAGTCCTTCAAAACAGCAGAAGCTGAAACAAAGCCCGGCTCTACAGATGAATATTTTATTTAAGTCTTGCTGGATTTTTTTAGCATATTTTTAGCAGCAGGGTATTATTTGTTGTGGTGCTGTATGGGTCTGTCTGTTTTGATCAGATGAACTGATTTATGGGGTTTATCTTAAGTTTATCTATTTAAGTTGTCAATTAGCTGAAGATTTATTTTGCCGCCTGAGCAGCGGGTTAGAGCTGTGCAAGTGTGCTGCTACTTTTGAGGGGGTGGACACCCCAGGGTGCCTGGTCTGGGCAGTGAAGGGCTGTGCAGGCAGCTAACATGAGCATCACTGTTTGCCAGGACCAGACTGCTGTTCCTAGTGCTTCTGCGCTTTTTTCCTGTTGGCTGAGCAGTGAGGATGTGTGAGATGCCCAGTGTTCAGTCCAGGTGGGTGACTTGTGGGCTTTCATGGCCAGCTGTGCAGCAGCACAGGCAGATGCTTCCCTCCCCTCGCCCCTGCATGTGGGGGAAAACTTCATGGCAGGAGGAGGAAAGAAGGTGGGGAACTGGAGACTTCAGTTGCAGGTTGATTTTCCTCCTGATGCTCCCTAGGAGTGAGGTGGGCTGTGACTGTCCAGAAGCTAAAGCTGCTGCAAGGAAACGTCTTGGGTTTGATTCTCTGTAGGCAGAAGAGCAAAGCCCAGGCTTTTGGTGCAGGGTAGAATCAGAGATTTCCTCCTATCCCCTTATTATAAGGGGTTAGGTTAAATGGTGAAAGCATTTTTACTCCCTCCTTCCCTCCCTTCATTTAAACTACTTTCCATGATTGAGGGGAACATGCAGGCTGGAGTGCTGGACTGCAAGGAGAGCTGCAGCCCAGCCCTGCCAGCGCAGAGGGCTGCTGCTGATGGGGAGATGCGGGCTGGCGCTGTCCTGGCCATGCAAAGCAGCCCTGGGAAGCCACTGTCCCGCAGGCAGGGCTGGAGGCTGGTCTGTGCTTCCCAGGGGCTGAGGCGCTGACCTTCACCCAAAGCCTGCAAAGCGTTCAGGCATCCCACGAGGAGTCCTTGCGAGTGTCCCGTCAGGAAACGTGCTGCTCTGCAGGCTCTGGAGTGCAAGAAAAGCCTCTCCTGAGATAGCAGGGTGGCCGCAAGCTTGTGGTTGCCCTGACCCAACGTTCCAAGGTCAGCCCAGAAGCTTTCCAAGTGCAAACCTCACACAAGCATTTTGCAGACTGCAAGCCCTCTGTGGGCTTCCTGCGAATCTGTTTTGAAGGATAGGATCATTGCTGACCCAGTGCAGGGCTGCAGCTGGCTTTCTAGCTTGAAGCCTTGTTTGGGAGAACAGGGAGGTCTAGCAGAGTAGGGAGGTTCGTGCTGCATTGCCTATGGGTTTGTGGGACCACATGCACTATGTGCTGGACTGAACCCTACAGCCGTTCCCTTGCTGCTGTGAGCCACCCCCTGGTGCCTGCATCCTGGCTCTAAAAGAGATTTGTGCTTTGGGATTGAAGGGTTTAAATATAGTTGTAATAGAAGCTGTTAAAGCTGATCTCACCATTTCATTACTGTTTTGAGTGAGTGACACTTCTGTCAATTTGTTTCAAACAAGCCTGCAGAAAAGGCAGGAGAAGGGGGCAAGATTATACCTGAGTGGAGAAGGAGAGGAAGGAGATGAACAGCAGGCTGCAGGGAGGAATGTGCTGGATTTGGATGTTTCCTCTCTGTGACACTGAGTGCCCAGCATGTCCCCTGTGATTGGCACATGACCTAGGGTGAAGCCTCCCATCCAGATCTTTCTCTAGTTTCCTTGCTGATATAAAAGATTGCTTGAGCTTGGCTGCTGCCCTTCTGCGGGGGACTCGGGAGGTCGTCTGTCTTTGGAGCAGAGTTCAGCTGTAGTGTGTTTAACTGAGCATCGCTGGGCAGCTTTGAGCCAGGCTCAACCTTTGCTCCATGCTCCTCGATGAGGGTGTTGTGTGTGTGTGTGCATGTGTTCCCAGGCTGATGTTGACCCCCACCCTTCCTCATGTAAATTAAACATAGCCAGCATGAAAACAGGGTGATACAAGTTTCACCTGGCTTGCAGGGATTTTTATGCACAACCTGCTTTGCACGTAGAGAATCAAAGATTGCAGTATTTCATAGTTAAACCTACACTGAAATTCACTGGATGCAGTCCAGGATGCTGTGACTAAAAACTAAGTTCTTCCCCACTGTCCCCAGAAACTGGGCAGAGGGATGAGATGATGCATCCTGCAGCTCTGCATCTTCAGAGGTGATTAAGGGATGACAGCCATGTGCTGCAGAGGATCATTTCCTGCTCTGGACTGCACTGGGAAGACTGAAATATGTTTTAAATTGAGACTAAAATTGGCATCCAGGAAAAAGCGATTTTTATTCAGCAGTTTTAGCTTTGTGTTGCATTTTTGTGTTCGGTAGGTCTTTTCCAAAGGAAAATCTGATTCCCACATGCTGGTAATCATTAAGTGATGTTGATTTGCAACTCAATATAGCTTTTATAAATGGTGGGCAGCAAGGTTAACGTGTGTTTGCACACAGGCTGCAACTGTGGGGGGGTCAGGGGTGACCCTGGAACCAGACTTGCTTTTAAATTCTGCCATTGCTGTTGACTGCATTGCAAATAGCCGAGAGTGTGGAATTCACCAGTCATGGCTTGGCTTCCAGGCCATTCTGTGACACTCTGTAGGGCCCTTCAGGGCAACAGAGAGACTACTGTGGAGCCCTAAATGTATGTGGATTTGTTGTTATGCACATTGGGTTTGAATACATAACAGAAGCTCTTGTACCCCATAAATAAGAATTCAAGAGGTCGAAAGTTTGACCCTTTGCCCTTGGCTTGTTAAGAAGCTGTACTTTTCCCTTTATTGTAAGCTCTGGTTGTCTGTTGGTCTAGCTACAGAAGGAAGAGTTATCTTTAGCTATGTCACTTGTTGCACATCAGATAAAATGTCATCTTTATCACTTTCATATCTAGCTCAATGCTTGGGTTTGCATTTCCTTCTGAGTGTTTGCAACTTGTTTACAGCCTGCCAGTGTTTTGCCTTCACTTGCTTTTATGCTGGAAGAAGCCAGAGATGGGTGTCTTGGTTATGTTTGTGTTGAGTGAACATTATTCAGTTTACCTCTGTTTGTGTTTCCTTTTAGGTATTTCATGGAGAGATTTCTTCATGCCACATGCTGTCTGTGAGTGCTAGCATCGCAGCTCTCTGCAGTGCCATCTGAGACCATACGAGCTGGACACAGCGATGGGGGACTCTCCAACAAATGCCATGGATGGAGGCATAGACACGTGCTGCAAAGACACACAGACCGAACTGGCAGAGCGGGTAGCAGCCATAGATGTGGCTGTTGGCCCAGACAGAAGTGACCAAAATGGTGAAGACAACACTGAAGAAAATGACACAGTCTTTTCTGATAACATAAAAGACATCCAAAGAAATGGAGTCAACAGTGACGTGGGAATGAATGCATTTCTGCCTTCCCAACGGTCAGAAGATGCTCACTGGAGGCATGTTCCCAAGAGACCTCTCACTAGACCCATCCTATCAAGCAGGAAGTTGTCTCTCCAGGAAAGATCATCAGGAGGTTATTTGGCTTCTAGCAACACTACAGGTTATGGTCCTTATGCCACAGGGCCATCGCCACGTATAATGAGGAGACCAACGATAGAGTCCAATCGGGTCTCCATATCAGATTCTGAGGTAGGCATGTTCTCCCCTTTAATTGTGGTGTTGAGGTAAGGTAAGTCTTTCTTAACTGCTAATGGGAGTCTTCGGTCTTTTGAACCAGTAGATCTGAAAGCACTGTTTTTTCTAAGGGGAAAAAAAAAAATCCCTGAAACCGGGAATTGTATTAGCCTGGAATGGCTGAATACCTTTGCGTCCATCCCCCAGACCTCTGCTAGGTGTAGCACTGGTCCTGACATTTGGCTCCTTCAGCCCTCACCTGCCTGGGATAGTCCTGTTAAGGGGCCAAGACCCCTGTTGTGTAGCGGTAGCATGCTGAAGGCCTGTCGGGCTGTTCACAGAAAGGACTGCAGCCAAATGGCTTTGCTCTCGTGTTCCTGCTGTATGTGCCCTTCAGGAGTTTATCAGTCACAGCAGCTTTGCTGATGGTGTATTATGAATTTAAGCTTCTGGAGATTATGTATCTCCTATTGTGTTTTGCCATTATTGAAGGCATGATTTCATTTTATAAAGAGTTTAAATGCACTGGTGTTTCCTACTCCTGTCAGGATTTTCCTTTGTCTTTTAAAGCGTTTAACAGCAGTGGTAACTGAGGGCTGTGACCCTCCTCTCCTCCAGAGGAGTGTCTCTGGGTGGCTGCCGTTTCCTGCCATCCATCTTGCAGCTGCTCTCCTGGTACCAGACCTGGGCTCAGACCTGTCCCAGAGGTGTAACACACTGTTAGCGCTCAAGTGTATTGATGGAAGTGGCTGCTGGTTGCAATTCCCTGTGCTGTGACGTGCTGTCATGGGGAGGACGGGGAGCTGAGAGAGGGGCTATTTGGACCATGCTGCCCAGTGTTGTGCTGAAGATGTTGAGCCTGCAGCAGTGCCCATGAAGGGGTGTGCAGCAGGGCTTTCTTTGAAAGCCAGGCATGATGGAGGTGGTGTAAATGGGTGTTTCTTGAAGCCAAAATGTTTTGTAAAATGCTACTGGCTGGGGAAGGATTTTTAAGTAGGGAACGGGCTGTCCAGAGTACTGGAGAGGGAACACTGTTTCAGCAGGGTTGGCAGCTGGTTTGGGAAAAAACACAGACTCAAACCTGAATTATCCCCCAAGCCCAGGCTGTGCCTTTTCCTGAGATTTTTATCTGCTATTTGTGGAGAAAAACAAAGTTTTCCAAGTCTCACCATTTTTCTCTGGACTGAATTTGTCTCCCAGTCATGTTTGTCTTGTGTTTCTGCTCTTAGGGAATGGGACAGGGCAGAGGGAGGGGTGGGAGGTGTCAGTGGGTGCCACACTCCACGGCCTCGCTCAGAGGTGCCATAACAGAGAGAGGAGGCGGCAGCGTGCTGGAGAGGGGAGCAGTGGTGGCATGGACCCCCTGGCCTTACCCTGCAGGGAGGGCTGTGCATCTCCTGCCCTGTTGCTGTGGGAGGTGAGCCCAGGAGAAGGCTCTGGTTCATCTTGTGACCATGAGCCTTGGTCTGGTGATGGATAGGCCCTTTCCATGGGCATTTTCAATCTCTGTTTCCTCTCGGGCTGGCAGTACAGTGATGCTCAGCCAGTGAATTCACCTCTGCTGCTGTGCCCTGGCACTGCAGAGGGACAGAGGCAGCAGCCAGGGGCTCAGGAGCAGCGCCCATCCAACTCTTCCCCACCCAGCTGATGGGGAGAACATGGGGGAACATGGCTCTGCCAATGCCACTGTACCAACATGTTGCTCTTGGACACTGTGGTGCTCCCAGCTGCGATGTCTAAATCCCACTGTGGTCCTGCCCTGTGTCATAAGGAACCCAAATCACTGGAGTTTAGACTTTTGCCAGTGTGGGTCCAAGTGACCTGGAGCTTAATATCTGTGTGGCTTAGTGTTTCCCTCCTGAAAGTGGGTGTTTTCCCCTTGCATATCTGGGAGGATGGGTGCTGTGCATGAACAAATCAGCCATTGTCCTCTGGGAAGTTTTGCAAGTCACGTTAGCTGTGAGATGGGTCATGGCATCCCTGGCTGATAAGAGGATATCTGCAGAAGGTGCACTGAAGAGACTGCAGCTTCTTTGACGGCAGCTGTATGTTTTAATAAGGGAGATGGGGAGGGAGAGGAGCTGGTTCTTGGAAGCGGACGTGACTTGTGTGCCAGCTCTCCCATCCTGCAGTACTTTGACAGTGCCAGGAGTGGGGCTTGTCCGAAATCTGTTTCAAAGTAACTGCAGTCGAGTGTGACTAGCACATTCCCATCTGCAAGCAAATTGAAAATACTCTGTCCTCTTCCATAGCATCTGCATCTTGGGGAGCAATAGCTACTGCCTTGGCGTAGGAAATGCTTAGTTTGAAATGCAGATGCGGAGCCTTTCACTTTGCTGCTCCCGCAGCAGTCTGTTACACAGTGCTGTGTTTTTAATGGTCACTTTGATATAACTATTTAGACCCCTGCTCTGGTGCAGCCTGGATGTGTAACAAAGCTGTGCTCGTTGGAAAACATCATTCATATTAATGGAGAATCGCTGCAGTAGGAGGGGGAAGGGACCCCAGGCGAGAGCTGTGCACGTTCAGAGGTGGGTGCCTGCCCTCACAGCAGTCTCGGGAGCCGTGCTTCATCTTCCCAGCTTATAGGGACAGTATCTGTATCTTGTAAGGAACAGCAAAAGGACTAGGAAGATGCATGCTTGTTTATAGGATAAAGTTTGAGGCTGGCAACTGAATAATGAGAAATAAGTGTTAGGTGTGTGACAGCAAGGCAAGAGTGCAGCCTGTGTATGACCTGCCAGTTGCTGCTAAGCAGTTGTTTTAGGGTGGTTGTGTTCATGGCTGTGACGGACACTGGCAGTCCAAACACAAGCTATACAGCTAACTGACATACAGCAGGGGACTCAGAAGAGAAATGGAGAACAGATCTTACGTTGTTAGATGCATTTGCTTAGTGCGTTTGCTGTAAGCAGTTAGCAGAGCCTTGCATCTGGGCAGGGAAGACTGAGCAGAGCCAGGAGGTAGGGGCAAAGCTTGTAAGAGTTACAGGGGACGCTATATTGATGCTTTTGGTCCTGTGGGGGATAAAATAACCCTCTGATGAGAAATACAGTCATGGTATACTTAGGAGCAGCAGCTGTTGTGTTTTGTATTGATCATTTTGATATGCAGACCTTCAGTGAGCAGGGAGGCTGGTAGGTCACTCTGACAAGATCCAGCTCACTGATCACAGTATTGCTCTGGTCTCCTGGCAAATGACTCTTTGACACATCTTGTTCTAGGCAGCTGCACGTTCGTACTTGAGTCCATGTCCCTCACCTGCTTAAAGCCATTTTGAAGCTGCTCCTTTCTCCTTGCATTGAGTATGCAGCATCAGTCAGTGCCTTTCAGATGGCAGGACATCCATTGCTCCGTCTTGCAGCTGCTGCCCAAGTGAGTTACAGTCTGGGCAAAAATGAAATTCATGAGCATTTGGGCTTTATCAGTGGCACATGTGCAGGCACCATCCATCAGGAGCTGAGATGGATCGGGCTGCATATAAAAATTTCCTGTCTTTTGCTGATAGCGATCTAGGATTGAATCTGCTTTCCTTCTCCAGTGATAGCAGGAGTGGTGGCTCACTGCCTTACTGTCAGCAGTTCTGTATCCTTGAGCGATCTGGAGAAATAATGGAGAGATGTGCTATGGGGAGACTGGATATGGTGATACAGCAGAGGTGAATTTTCTGTTGTTCTCTGCTGAATTATGGAAGAACCATGTGTTCAGTTAAGGAGACCCTACTGAGCTTGTTAATGCTGGTTTAATACTTGTTCACAGGCTGGAAGGAAAACTTGCATTCAGGGATCAGAGGGCCAAGAGCTGAAGCTGAGCCTGTGACGCTGCAGGAGGCTTCACGTGGCGCTGTGAGCAGGCAGTGAATGGTGCCGTCACATCCCTGGGACTGATACCCCAAACCCCTGCCTTCTGAGCAGGGTTTCTTGGGCTTGTTATTGAGGAAGATGATTGCTCCTGGGCTGGCAGGGCTGCAGCAGAGCCAGGGCTTGTTGTCTTGCACAGAGGCAGCTTCTGATCAACTGACCAGAGCCACCAATTAGCTAATTAACCTGGGATGAAGAGTTGGCAGCTGGTGGTGTCTTGCAGCTGCTGCTGACAAGTCTGGATCTACAATACTAACTCTGCAAGAGAAGTAACTCGTTCTGCTCTCCTGACAGTGTTACTGTGTACTTTAATTAACCTTATTTGTCATATCTCTATCAAAATTGATCTGTAGTTTTCAAAGCAGGCCAATTCCCTGCTTATTCCCCTCCTCTCTTAGGTTATTCGTGGACCATGGCCTGGAAGGTCCTTTCAGCACCACCTTCTCTGGTAGGAGTGCCTGCTAGGCTGGTGGGCTTTCTGCTGCCTTTGCTGCCCATCAGTGCTTTGGTCTAAGAAGGGAATGGCTTTGCCTTTAGCTGTGGCACAGAAGCGACTAGGCTGAAGCTATTAAGGGTATGTAATTGGGCAGACCTGAGGCACAGGCTCCAGAGTTTAGGTAGCTGGCCCATGTTGCCTCTGTTGATGTGACATTCCCAGCTCCTGCTTGGTGCTGGCAGCATGGCAAGAGGCAAGGGTTTTCCTGGGGCTGCTAAAAGCAGCTTCTGCTTTGCTGCATGGATGATGCTCAGGTGCTTGTATGTACCAGGGCAAGACTCTCTTGTCAGCATGTTTGTACAGACTGATGGGTGTCTTGTCACAGTGTTTGACAGCGCTCATCCCACCTAAAATGGCAGGGCTTGTATCTGTGAAAGGGTAGAGGTGCTGCTTGTTGGAAAATGCCATTTTCAAATGCAATACTGTTCTCTTTATTCTGCCGTCCCAAACCAGCCCTTTTAGGTAGCCAATAAAAATCTCACTCAGAGAGTGGCTAGAAGAATAATGAAAGATGTCTTTTTCCAGGCTTTCTCCCCAGACCTGCCAGCACAGTTAATTGCTTTATACTTTTCTCCAGTCTCTTCTGGCTGAATCATCCTTTCTCTTTCACGTGTTCCTTTTCTCTCCCCTGCATCTACCCACTCTGAGGCAGCCTGGTT